GACAGTGCTACTGAGGCTTTTAGCGAACGTGATCTGAAACCATAAGAAACCAGCGGAAACCATGCCAGATTTGGCACAAGTGAACGCCGATGATCTGCATCTATACTCTGGAAACGTAAAACAACGACCTTATAACGATTAACTGTTTGAATACTCCCCCTCGTCCCTCCCTCTTAAACACACAGAACCAAGGAAACCATGTGATATCATTGCAATAATCCGCTATGGTAGGATAACTAAGTAATAATGTTACAAAATATCTGATAATGCAGTACTAAATGTTGATGCACTGCAGCTTCCAAAATACCATGGCCTGCAAAAACAGTCCCCTAATCTACAAGATGCAAGAAGAAGCATGTCTAAGACGAATAAATCCGGTGAAATAACAAGAAAAATTCGAAACATTCTGAACCTTGTTCGCCTCTTCCAGTTCGTTCATTCTCTTCTCCGCCAGCTTAATCCGCAGTTCAGAGTCGATTAAGTTTCTCCTGAACTTTTCGGATTCATTTCTAAGCATATTTATTTCGTCGTCCTAAAAAATAAATGCTTTAATTGACAGGAATAGAATAAGCCTCTGTGACAAAGAAATTAGTAGTAGTAAAATAGGAAGCAAGTAAATAATTAGTAATTAAGTACGAAGGGGTGATGTCGATTCGTTGCCTGCCTGAATACCAGTTGTTTCTTTCATCTTGATTCATGGGTCCTCTTCTCTACGAAAAGTAATACGATTCAACGTAGCTGATATTTGCAAAGCAGCATGATATTAAATTTGACAGACTGCCTCGATCTTCAATGAACTACTCCTTCTCGAAAGAAATCTTTACTATTCTAAACGTGCCATGGATGTCTTGTGGTGCATTATAAAATTAGGAGATACTCTTTCATTCACGTCAGGGAGGCCCTTGATTTGTTTCAGACCAGAGCGTTCATTCACAAATTCGATGCCCACTGCTCATTTCGAGTTGTACATACGTAGCTGCTTCATGAAGCCTTTCCATTGATATGGTTTACCGCCAAATGAAAAAGTTGAATGGTCTGGATTCCAAGGCGCGACAGCGACAGATTTTCTACATAACTGGTTTTGTATCTCATCTGATCTATGGTCTTCCTCTTGGCTGTCTTCTCCTTAAGGAGTAGAACACATACGTTAACCTTCTCATTCTAGCAAACACGAATGATGCAGTGTTAATGCACAGCAATGGATAGAACCATCGAGGAAACAAACCAATCTAGCATCTTCATCAACCAAAGATATATAAATTTCTGTATGGAATGTCACTAATCACCAGTGGCACATCAAACCATACCGTCAATAGATACTACTTACAAATGTAACTAATTAATACTAATTATAGCTACATATCACCTGTTTTTATAACTTTATTTATAGATATCTGTAATATCAAAAATCACATACGAACCTTCCTACTGAGACACTGTGTCAACTGCTGTTTCTCATTCTTGACAGCTCTTAATTGAGAAGTAACAGCATCTCGCTCCTTCTTCAGCTGAACGATCTGCTGAAGGTGTTTTTCCTGACTGGCCTCCAGCACCAGTATATCCTTTTCCCGCTGAGCATATTTGACAACGCAGTCATTTTTTTGCCTCTGGGCGGTTTCTTCCGAACTTCTGGCCTAAATGCATAAAACGTTCAATGGAAACTGTAGAAATCCAAACTTCAGTGTTCATCACATAAGGTTTGAATTTGCCGCACTGGCCTATCGTTTTTAAAATGTCAATTGACGAGCTCTTATGCCCCCCACACACACACTCAGAAACTTCGTTTAGCAATTAAAAACGCTTTTTGCAAGTTAAAGTAATCTTGTTTCAGTATGAACACGTGGCCAGCTCCTCTTACTATGTCTTTGCTTTTACGTTAAATTTCAAACGCGTTTTCATACCTGAGAATAAAATGGAAGACATTCGGCTACTCTACAGATCTGGTCGCGCTAATGTAGAAATTCCTTCTTAAATCACTGCATAAACAATACGACCAACGGACATGAAGGAAACACGGTCAAATGAACTTTTTCATCCGGACTTAAGGATGTATGTAGAAAATCAAAAATTCCGCAGAGTCCTTCAAATGTTACCCTTTCCCTCACTTACGCCATTAAACGTCTTCCTAATCGTTCCTTTTAGCCAAGTCTCAGAGTTACCGCTTGTTTGAGGCTGTAATATCTCCTCAGCTAACGAATTTTACACTTTTGACATTAGTTTCTGCTTTGCACATCGACGAAGAAAATATTTCTTATTAACCGCTGATCTGTTCAATTTCCTCCAACCATTTCTTGCGCTAGCTGCCGATCCGTCGTCCTACGTGCTCGAGTTTACATATTAGCCGTGATTAATCAAAGAAGTCTGGTCTGCTAATAGTAAACTGACTAACTATGGGAGTTTTATATCCCTATATTTCCATGAGGGTGGAAAACGTAGTCATTTTGACATGATGATATATTATTTTCATCCAACTTAATAGCCAATATCTCTGCAGAATCGTCAGTCGACATTAGTGAGATTGACGTTTTTAGTTTGCACAGCAAATCCTGTCTAAGAAAAAGGTTAACGTGTTAATGCCGGTTGGGCAAATATTCCCTGCAGAACCAAGACTTCTGAGAGAATTTTAAATATACCAGAAGCCAACGACAAACTTATCACTGTTAGAAATATGGCATCTAAGAAATCAAACTTCAGGAATTCCTCGTGGCACACCTTCGTTCAACTGCTATATCTTGATTCCTCATCGTCTTTGTTTTGATGGGGTCCAGCTGGAGGTATGCTTTTGCAACTGCTGTACATAGCGCTACAGATGACGAGTGAAAACCTTCATAACTCTGGCCCAGTAAAACAACATTCCCGTTAGTGAAGTATCTTGATGAATGTCTTGAGCCTGACACTTTTGTTCTACCATAACCTAATCCTTGAGGAGCCAATCAGTGCTGTTTCGTAGGATATCATGCAGCACTCTCATGAAGTACAAACAGAAGTGGACATAGCCCTGTACAACCTCGTTTTTGGCCGCGAACCAATCAGAAAACCGTTGTCCTAATTTCACAGCACCAATCGTCCTGTTTTACACGTCTTTTCATTACGGGGACAATCTATTAAAGAATATCATAGTTGCAAGCGATCTTCCATGGATTGTGAACCACACGCCATAGAATGCCCTGCAAAATACAATAAAACAACAGATCCCAGGCTACGTCTACAATCAACTTCGCTTACATTCTAATATCATGCTGCCAGCTCAGAGGAGCCACTGACTCAAAAATATGAATATTTCCGTAGCACATTCAAAAATGGTATGGTCTTCAGCCACTAATAGACGAATAAGTTCCCACTGTAATGATACTGTCAGAACGTTTTAAGATCATAATGACATACAACGACGAAGACAGACGTTAAACATCATTCTCTAAGGCCAGCAATTATGTTCATAGGCTGAAGTAAAGAAAATAAAACCCAAATTTTTTATTAAAAAGTAAAATAATGAAACCACTACAGTAAAACTTGATTATTTCAAAAATCTAGAGATAGAAAATAAAATTTCCCAATTAAATAAAACGCAGTTAATTAAAAATTTACAGAAAAACTCAAACTAGATTAAATACAAATACCAATATGGAATATTATAAATAAATGCACTGCTATAAAATGCAATATCAAGTCCACAAGCTTAAGTATATTAATTTTCCGCTGATCAGACATTTTTTTCTTTTGTACAGTCATCAAAAGAAATGCAAATTTATCACTGTTATGGACTACAATGCTACTTAATGCATTGTATAAAACATTTGTTACAATTACTAAATATCACTGAAAGGCATAAATAACTCATCTACAGTTGTCGTCAAGGTTCCAATTATGCTGAAATTTTCACTTATCCAAGTTTCACTGAGGTAGCCTGAAGGCTGATGCATGTGTTAATCAATTAAGCAAAGCTACAACGTATATTTATTTCACCTGTTCAACAACGGCTTTGCATTTGGCGTGAGTTTCGGCAATTAACTGGGTAAAATGAGACTCAGTTCTACAAGCGCGGTCAAGCAGCTCTCTGTTTTCTTCTTCGAGTTGTTTAATACGTTCATTCTTCTAAAATAAACAACATGCATTAGAAACAAAACGGAGAACATTACAGCAATAGTATTGATATTTCTTATGGTCAATTCCGCATGCACAACTAACTGGTGTGAAATACACATTGCACGACATATTTTGAAATATCATATAGTTGTGGCCTGCTTAAATGACATTATATGTGGCTTCATGTGTTGGTACAGTTGTCTAAGATATCTGTTTAGAACTTCAGAGGTGCCGAGTTCGATTCCGCTTGAGGTTAATCTTTGTCTTATTTCCTTGAGAAAAGAATTTACCACAAACTGCTCAATCAGTAAAGCGTTGAAATCAGAACCGACAGCTACCGAGTTCAAGCCCCCGTCAGGGACTCTTGCCTTTCTTCCTTCCACGGTTCATAAATCACACTGAGAAGGAAACAGGAGACTACATACTACGCCTGCGATTGGCTGTAGACTCTGGCTTTAAAAAAATAAGGCACTCCTAACTGATGATATGGACTTCAGCACCGCATCAACAAATTTATGACAAAAGGGCGCCAAAATACCCAATCACGAAAGTGAACGAAGACCGACATTCCAAGTGTGAAAAACATTCCCTTTTTCCTCAATAGCCTAATAGATAACTAGGAACATGGGCTGGCGCAATAAATAATATAATCCGCTTTTGGAGAAGTTAAACGCTTACTAATACTCTGCTAACTAAGACAGTTATAAGGAATATCAATCAATCACATTTATTTGCCTGACAAACACGGTTGGTATCAACACAGCATAGTTCCATCAAATTTGCGAACAGGAACCACTGTACAGAAAATCACTGACAAATTTACACACACAACAGTATATTACCTCTGTCATTATCACATGATGAAGCAATTTACAAGCACTTTCTTCATACGGCTGCCGAAGAACCCTGTCGAGAAATGGTAACTGGCCGTCGATAGAACTCGGTAGGGATTATGATAGCCCAAAAATAATTCAAAGCTCCAGGACAACACGAAGATGCTTTCATGAATTTCATGTACAACGGACGATTAGAGTCTTTCAGCGACGACTGAACCAGATAATAGGCCACTTTGATCGTTGTTGTTACAACTCGATCACTTATTTCCTTTTCACCGATTCTGCTTATACGAGAGATCATCATTACCCCTCTTCTAAATTGTCAATGTTCTTGTTTCAGCAGGCCAGCAAATATCACGGGACCAGCGCACGTAAAATGATAGTACCACGCATCAGAAAACAAACAAACGGGCTAACTGTTTAGACGGGCAGTCGAGAGCCTCATCATTCACAGCACTACTGAGAATGCTGAGAGAACGTGATCTGATCAGTTCAATTTGCCGTTCAGCAAGATCCCCAGTACTGTTAGAAGGTACAAGCTCGCCCTTTAATGTGAGAGATTGCTGGGCTACAGTAATTAGTTTCTGAGACTTGGTGCTCTTAATCTGAAACATCAACTGGTCACTCAGTGGTTCAATATAACACCGCTGTTTCTGATCCATAGTTCCACTCTATTTCCAACGTCTTGTGTTTCTGACAAGCCTGATTTATTTGTGATGGTTGAGATAAAAAGCATGACATTATTAATGGTATATGCCAGCATATTAACCTTGGATGACAAGAGCATCATGCACCTTCGTCGTAACAACATATTTTTAACTACGTACTCTGTTGGCATGCCACGGTAAAACAAGATATAGGTTGACAGTAGTCAGGATCTGTGATGAAGAGAGGGTAAACCTCAACATGACCAAAGGATTCGAACCATCAATCCCTCAAATGTTGGTCAGGCGTTCTTCCGACGGAGCTGTTTTAACCTGATATGTTAGAAGAAACTCTATTTGTCATCGCAAACTGGAAGATAATCTTCTAGAAGAGGCAAACACGAGTCTCTAACTCAACACAGTATCCGTCTATTATCCACCGTTTCACAGGATAAGAAATACTCGAAACCAAGGGTTCAAGTAGAACATTTACTGGAACCATTAAACACAGCGTTTGATCCCGCATCCATGACGATATAGATCAAGTCACGATCCCAGTAGTGCTTCTGAATCTTCCTGCTCGTGCAATCTTAGCTCTAGCAGTAACGCGTGGAAACTAAATGGTAACCTGGTCATTGAAAACATAGGAGAGAAGGTAAAATCTCTATAAGTTGACTTATTCAACTACATGTATTCCCTCTTGTCCACTCCTGTAAGGATCTACATTGAGAAATTACGAGTAACCGAATATGAGCAGAAAATAATACTGTACATCAGTTTCAGACTGATTAACATGATTCGTTTAAACGTTTGCTACGTGAAAGGTGGATTTCGAACTGTGGAGATGCCGTGTTCAATCAAAGAGAACGGCAATCATTGTCTTAACCATTAATTCCCTTGAACAAGGAATTTACCAGAAGGTGCTTCAACCCTGAGCTGCTCAGTCAGAGGAGCATCAGAACCAAGATATTCCGAGTTCGAATCCAGGTGAGGTCACTCACTTTTCTTCCTTCTGAGGTTGATAAAAGAGTAAAACTGTGTGGGAAGGAAACAGGAAATGATACCTTGTGCTTGCCACTAGCTGCAGTCAAGTTTGTTTTTAAAAGGTAAGGCAATCGTGCTTGTTCCACGGAAATAGAGATCAGCACACAACCAATATCCTCAAGAAAAGAACGTCGTCAGAAATGCTCCATCATAAAATGTAGGGAAGACAGTTATCGACATTCCAACGGTTACAAGCTTTCTTGTTCTATTTTTCCGCATAAGCTGGAGTGATCAGCAACATTACTGGGAATCAAATTTTGAATCTGGACCTTGTACCGACCTGTGGATTTGCTGTACGTCATATAGAGGGTGGACGGGCGCCGCGAATCTAAGAAGCAGCAGCCCGTTGTGTGAAAAGGGGAACAAGGTTATTCATTACTGGCGAGACTACGATGCTGCTATGTTGTTCAAAGTGTTTAAGACAAAACTATTTAAATCTGAAGTGGTCTTGTGGCAGAATAAACTATGATCACTGTTACTGCAAAATGTTATTTATAAGTCAATGGTTTCAAAATTTATGACCACCATAAACTGTGAAGACACAGTTGATGCTCTTAGTTTTCTCAAGACCTACGTTTTTCAAACATATTAGTCTTGTTACCAACTCTGAACTTTATGATTATTAAATTAGAGTCTTAAATAAAGCGGAACCTTCATTGTGTTTACTACATATTTAATGTTCATTCAATTACAGGCCAGTTTAGTTTGATCAGAACTCAACATTCACTGCAAGATTGGCCTAAAACCGTTTAACAGAATAAACAAAAACGGAAGGAAATGTACTAGATTAAGTCTAACTTGCTGTAAAATTTGCTGTTGTTCGGCGCTAAACCGCTCGAACTGTTGAATCCATGAGTTTCGCTCGTCACATGCTTCATTGTAGCGCATCCGTAAATCTTCGAGCGCTTCTACAGGGCTAGAAATGTTTCATATGGCAGTAAACATACAACTGAAAGTTTTTCGGTCACTTGCTTACCCTTCAGCCGGTTTAACGGTTTCATCATCACATTTCTGAGAGGAGACATCGTAGTGAACCGTGTGAATTACTGCCGGTTTATTGCCGTCACAGTGTTGTTCTACATTTCTACAAGAAATGTCTTCGGAATGCTGATCCTGGCTACGCTCTTGTGAAGGCAGTTCAGTAGAATTTTCTGAGGAAATAGAATTATTCATAATGTCTGTTATTAGCCGAAAGCATTTGATCCCTGAGCACTGGCATATTCTGTAGTTTGCCGCAACATGAGTACAGTAAATGTAAAAAGATTTACAGGTATTAATGTGTAGAAGTTACAGTCATTCTAGTTTTTTGAAAAATATAATTGTTGGATAGTCATAGATCAATTTTATCCTCACAATAAGGCAAAAGTTTGTAATACATAGGTACATATAGCAAATTTTAATCAAAAAGTAAAAGAACGTTCAGTACAAATCTTTCCAACGTGGCAGGCAAGCCGCAAATCATTTTTCCGGGTATGGAGGAGAATATATCTGCTCAATAGAATGCGCCAGTGATTTTTCACTCTATTTTTATCTTGTTTTTCCTTATTTGAAATATGTCTCTGTCATTTTCAAGGATGACCAAATGCCAGTTTGTTCGAAAAATTTGGAATTTTTGTAAATAGGATTTTTCCTTGGTTCTGGTTCTGTCAGCCATGGAATCAGTAGTCCTCGAAATAAATTTTAATGATTTTCAAGTGGCGCTGCAAGTTCATGCTGTCTACAAAAAGAAATCAATGACTGCTCCATATGCATAAATCACAACGTACCAGGGTATGCAAGTTACTTAATTGCATTTTTGGACTCATCCACTTTCTCCGTTATTTTGCACTGAACGGTGATCTGTAACATCGATTTACCGTAGAATTTGCATGCTAATAACGCATGGAGTCATGATGCTCAGCATTCAAATTAAGGGCTGACAGTCCTAATTTTTCATTTACGAGCCTAAGCTAGTTCACTTTCCTGGCGGTTGTGAAAAACTCCGTGACTTCGCATGTCATGAATCTACTATTTACTTCTATCTGGAACGGCACGTAAATGACAAAGTTTTTAAAGCGGTCTCTGTTGAAGTGACCGCTTTCTCTTTGTAGGCTGCTCACTAGCTTCACAATGAAAGTGAAGTTTCGTGAGCATGTGCAATTGGAATTTTGCAATGTTCCTAAACAGTTTCTTCTGTGCTTTCTGAAGAGCACTGCGGCAATTTTTAACGCTCTACGTAACGCGGCTTTTGAAACAACAGCCTCTTACAATCCATGTCTGCTGCTGTAGGAATTTAATTCTTTCACATGCTGTGCGTGAGGAACCATTTTTGACCGACTGCAGTTCTTGCAATATGGATTATGAAAGATGGAGTCTGTCGTGTTTGATTTTAGAAAAACAGATTAGAGGTAAATTTATTAGCTTTTATATGAGTCTGTGCCCTGAAAGATGACAGTGCATGGAACGGTTAGATTTTAAGTGCTTCAGAGTCTTGCTGACTAGTTTTACAGCAGGTAGGTTTTACCTGCAATTGGTTTCCGGTCGGCACACGCCTTGGCATGTTGATCAATAACTAAAATACTAAACATCACATTCTGTGAACCCCCTTTCGCCGACCTACATGGCGTATGAAGAATGCTTTCAGTTTCTTGACTAATCATCTTCATCTTCCATCGCCGGTTCTCCTTTCGGGTCGCGGAGGCAGACGCGCCAGACAGTGCTTCCAACGTTCCCGATCCTGTGCCAGAGT